ATTCATTTTAGAGCATAACAATTCATTTTAGAGCATATTACGATTCATTTTAGAGCATAACAATTCATTTTAGAGCATAACAATTCATTTTAGAGTAAAGCAATTCACTTTAAAGCATAACAATTCATTTTAGAGCATAACAATTCATTTTAGAGCATATTATGATTCATTTTAGAGCATAACAATTCATTTTAGAGCATAACAATTCATTTTAGAGCATAACAATTCATTTTAGAGCATATTACGATTCATTTTAGAGCATAACAATTCACTTTAGAGTAAAGCAATTCACTTTAGAGCATGGCAAATCATTTAGGAGCATAAGTCTCTACTCTTTAAAAAAACAACGCATCAAATTAATTAAACATTTTTTTAATTATTTTATTAATTGTTTTTTCAATTGTGGTTTCACTACAACAGTGACTTGCGCATTTATACTGCAAGAAAACATTATCAGAATTAAACAATTTCAAACATATAAAAACTACAATGCATCTTTCACGGTAGGGATCAGATAAAGTTTTCAAGGGTACAGTTGTGAATCGGGCATTGTCATCTTTGGATGGAGGTTCACTTGAAATTACGTGTACAGCCCCTTTAACATAATTTCTGGGGGGAGGGGGGTCTAGTAAACTTCTCCTCACTATTAATCCTTTAAACATTTTTCATATAATACTAATATTTGGATTTATGCATATTCAAGAATTGTATAGGAAAAATAAGAATTAATTAAAAACTAAACCTACCTCAACATCAGCTTGAGTTTAGGTTTAGAGTTAGTCAATCGTGTTTGTGTTAATCAAAATATAATATTTATTAGTTTTTAAAAAAATTATATTTCTATTACTAATGTTTATTTTATTCTATATTGTATATTTCAGATAAATACAAATATCTTGTTACAAAATATGGTTTCTTCTCATATCTGATATCATTTGTATTCTTTACAGTTTATTGAATTAAAATTTTAAAGACTTTTTACGAGTGACATTTTTTATATAAGGCTCAAATCAAAATTGGGAAATTCAAAAAAAATTATATTTAAACATTTCTTGGCTTTCTATTTCCTTGCTTTGTTACAAACAGGCGAAAGGAACTGAGTTCTTGCAACAAAGTCTAATTTTCTAATACCTGAAGTCGTAGACTTTTAAAATATCAATCTATAAATTCTATGTTTCAAATATATAAGGATTAGCAAGTTTTTAAAACTAAAATTTAGATTTCTTCATTCTTCACCAAATAATTGTGTGTCCGTCTTCAGTCACGGAATTCCTAAATTAAACTTTTTGAAACTATTAAGTCTATATATATATATACTTTCCTTGTCTGCCTGTCCATTAAATGTCAAAACGGTTTAACCAATTGGTCCCATTTTTGTAGAGCAACTCTCGTGACTGGGACCCGGGGAAGATTCGTTTTGTTAAAGTTAAACAATTTTGTCAGAAATCATTAATTTTGACAATGTACCAATTTAAATAAAAAAATTCGCCGAAAATTTGGAATTATTTAAAAATGTCCACTTTCAGAGCAATTCAGTTACAAGCTGAAATTATTGATGGGAGCGAACCGCACTAAAATCCTAGAAAATAAATAAAAAGTAAATGAAAACTCAGTTTTACCCTTAAAATGAAGCAAAAGTTTTTTGGTGTAAAATAAATTGACTTTATTGGTAAGCAAGCAAACATGATATATTTTACAAAAAAATGTTCTGTTGAGCATTCTATTAAACAAACTCCTTTTACAAAGAAGAGAAACATTACAAAAGTTACCCCCATGGTAAGGTAAACGCTGTACAGGCTTTTGAATTGACAAAACTAGTTATAACATCTTTTGTAGAGAAAAAATGGATGAAATATTCTAATATTGGGTGATATTTGAAGAAAGGAAAATTTACGGGGCAATAACAGTACAGATCAATTTAGATGACGTCAACATTTAAATTGTTTTTTTTTTCAAGAATGTGCCTTATCAAGGAAAATAAATATATTTCAAATTGATTTATGTTTATTTTGTCATAGCCATTTGGAAAGTAGGTCTAAATTGAGATTTAATTAGGAAAAGGAAAAGTATACATTCAGACCTCAGATCAACAAATTTTAATTTAGAGGCAGGGTTACCTGTCATTGTCTTTCTGTGACTGTGAGCCAACTGATATTCTGGAATCTATTCTTGCGATCTCAGTTCTTACAGAAGGGTCGGTTGAAATCATCTGACCACGTGGTAAATCAAACATGGCTGCCATCCCAGAGTCAGGTGGTAAATCAAACATGGTCGCCATCCCATCAGAGTTACATGGTAAATCAAGCATGGTCGCCGTCCCATCAGAGTTACATGGTAAATCAAGCATGGTCGCCATCCCATCAGAGTTACATGGTAAATCAAGCATGGTCGCCATCCCATCAGAGTTACATGGTAAATCAAGCATGGTCGCCGTCCCATCAGAGTATTCGATAGACCGTTCAATCACTGGATAGCAGCCCAAAAACTTTTTCTCAGGATTCCTGAGTAGGGCTGGATGTCTTAATAACAGGGAAATGTTCAATTAAGGGAACTGTGATATAAATTCAAAAGACCCTTGATGAAAAGATGGCAATGTCCGATTCTCAATGGTATCCTTAAAAGCTTTGTCTGGTCAAGTATGAATAAAATATCAATGTTTTTAATTTTAAAAACTGACAATTTATGCTTGTGGCATTTCTCCTGTAGGAAAACCTAGAAAAACGAAAATATCTTTCAGATTATTGATCAGAGAAAGGTTTCAAGGGTACCGTTACAAATCTTTAAAAGTAGGGTTACTTGTTACCAATTTTTTTGGAACATTTTATGACTACTACAGTTAGAACTGTTCTTTAAGAAAATGTAGCGATAATTTATTATTTTTTTAAAAATTGAAAAAATGTCACTAGGGAAAGAAAGGCCTTTCGATAACAAATGTGGAACGACCAGTTTTTGATACTCAAGAATATGACCAGCCCTATTCCTGAGACATGAGATTAGCTCACTGGAGTCAAAAACCTCTGATGATCCTCGAACAGGCTGCTGTTTCTGAAGCGGGAAGCGGAGATGTCCTCTTGGATTCATCCTTTTCAATGTTAATTTTACTTGAAACATCTGTATAACTTGTTTTAGGTGGGCCATGTATTTTTATATCTTGTTATTTCTTAAAGGATCAGGTTTTTTAAATCATGAAATAAAAAAAAACACATAAAATATTTAAATATTGAGGATGATATTTTGATTTATTGGCAAATTATCATATTCAGAGACATAAATTCTCTGGCATGCTGATGTTGAACATCAAAAGTCTAGAATTATTTACCCGACATCTTCGCCATTAGAAAATATAGTCGGTGTAAATGTTTCCTCTGTGATTTACAGGTCTCAAACTCTTAAGCAAACATCTCAAAGAATTTTGCCAATTACTTTTTAAAAACCAAAGCTAGCACCAAGTGCTTTACAGTGTTAAAATGTACATGTAAAGGGCCACATAAAAGTGTTAGTAAGTTGGAGCGGTAAACTTAAATGTAATTGAAGATGCAATAGCTATTGAAATTAACATTCCTATTAGTTTCCTTTGCACTCCTATCCTCATAGGAATGTTTTTTCCTTTGAAGAATTAACCTAAAAAATTGACAGAGTTTATTGCTTGAAATATAAGTGCCAAGATACCGTATCTGATTTCTCAATTTTTTGGCAAATACACTTAAATAAATACGTCTTTTTTGTCTGTCTGTTTGTTTGTATCCAATAAATGTCTGAACCTATCAAGCCCAACGTTTGTGTTAGGCCTCCGGAAAAGTTTATGGATGATTAAAATTTCACAAAATTTTATGAAAAACAAAGGAGAATGTGCACATTTCCAAACAAAGAGGGGGGGTTTTCTGACTTATGTATAGAGATTTCTCTCTGATTTTTTGCATGCAGGCCTGAATTGTGAAAAAGTTTTTGAATCAAAAACCAAACTGCAGGGAGAAAAAAAAGTTTTTCTTATTTTTCGGGCATTTTTTCAAAAACTTTGTGATAGGTCCATGTGGGGTGTCTGAAGTCATCAACATTGGGTTGGGAACCTCGAAATTCTGAATTATTTAATGCATTTCCCCTTGTCATTATACCATTCTACCCTACTAATTATTATTACTAGAGCTTTCAATCTGAATTTTTGCTTGCAGACCTGAATTGTGATCTAGTTTTTGAAAAAAAAAAATAAAAATGGGGAAAAAATTATTTTTCCTCTCATTTTTCCCGCAGGGCATTTTTTCAAAAACTTTGTGATAGGTTCATGTGGGGTGTCTAAAGTCATCAACATTGGGTTTGGAAACTCAATCCTGGACTTTTTAATGAATTTCTCTCTGTACTTCTAACAATACGCCCACCCCTTTTCCGAATTTGCTCCCTTCAAAAGGCCAAAGAAGCCTTCTGATTTTATCACTTGAGATTTTTCTCTAATTTTTTGCATCCAGACCGGAATTGTGATCTAGTTTTTGAATTAAACACCAAAACGGTAGGGGGGATATTTATTCTTCTCATTTTTCCCGCATTTTTTGGCATTTTTCCAAAAACTTTGTGATAGGTTTCCCGACCCAATGTTGATGATTTTAGACACCCCACATAGACCTATCACAAAGTTTTTGAAAAAATGCCCGAAAATGAGGGAAAAATGAGGGGGAAATTTTTTTTCCCCATTTTGGTTTAGTTTTTTTTTCAACATTTTCACATTTCTGTAGGGTAAGCTCACAGATTTTTTATGTTAAATATTAAATCAATAGTTGATATATTTGCCAAATAAAGCTAGATCTCTAATTGTATGTAAGGATGTATGTCTGTCACAATTTTTATGTTATCGATATCGCGTCCACCAAGGGGAGGTAGGCCAGCCACAACAATTTCTAGTCCGAGCCACATTCTCCTCATTTTGTCGTCCGAGCCACCTCTAAATCCTCGTCCTTCCAATTTTATTTTTTAAAAGTATCAAGTCCTCCAAGATAAAACTATTTTTATATTTTTAAGAATCAGGCCACATTAGGCATAATTGAAATATTAAATTTTAGTAAATCTAAAAAAATTGTTTTTGAGTTCAATTTCCTAAAAAATTTTCATTTTTTTATGCGTATTTTCTGAAATTCCTGTTGTAGAATGTCGCAAATAATTCCAAGGTTACAGAACTTTAATCTTTTTTGTTAATCTTATACGGGAAAACCATATATTCTTTCCGGGTGGTTCCATGGGGAAAATGATAGGCAGAGGTATGCCAAATATTTTGCTATTTAAAGAAATTTATAAATCAATATTTTTTAAAAATAGTTTTATCTTCAAGAGTTAGAAACTTTTAAACACATATAATCGAAGGACGAGGATTTAGAGGCGGTTCGGACGAGAAAGTGAGGAGGATGTGGCTCGGACATGAAGTTGTTGTGGCTGGCCTTCCTCCCCTCATCCACCTTAATCGTCCTAAATTTTCCCAGTACCTGTTTGTGAGCATCGTTTTCCTGGCATTTGCATAGAATCTTCTATTTGCAGGCAATTCCCTTGGTTTCTAGGAAATAAGGAAATTTTTTATTTTCACACAAGACTAATTAATACAAATTAAATGTTGATTTTAAAAGGAAATTTAAAAGTTTAGAAAAAGAATAAAAAAACTTGTTTAAATTTTTGCTGATCCAATTTTTTAATGTGTTCAGAAAACCTTATATTTTATTTTTTTCAAGGAACTGATTGCATGACTCAACCTCTAATTTTCTTTTTCAATATTTCTATAAATTGCAAACAAATGAACAGGATGAGACTGCTAACTTATTTAATGATTGGGCCAAACAAGAAAAAAGTTTATACTTGCAGGGACTTATGAATGAACGGAAATAAACCGTATGCATTCCGTACAGTCGTCTATGAAGTCTCATCCTTTGTGGGTAAACCTGTATCTGCATAAAAAGAAGTGGAATTGAAATTTTGAAATAATTAAGGCTTGCGACTTAAATTTGGTTGCAATATTGTATTATATTGAAAATTTTAGTAACAGGAGAGTAATCTTGCTTTTATCATGATTTCACTACTGTTTTTACCCCAGGCCATGACATGATAAAAGTGTATCTTTACCACCGATTTCATAGATTGCTGCCTGTTCAATACACTGGGTGGTAAATCAAGGCTATACATGGAACATCCTAAAAAACAAGCTGAAAAGTCTGTGGTATTTAAGCTGAAAAGTCTGTGGTATTTAAGCTGAAAAGTCTGTGGTATTTAAGCTGAAAAGTCTGTGGTATTTTATCTGAAATGTCTGTGGTATTTAAGCTGAAATGTCTGTGGTATTTAAGCTGAAAAGTCTGTGGTATTTAAGCTGAAAAGTCTGTGGTATTTAAGCTGAAATGTCTGTGCTATTTAAGCTGAAAAGTCTGTGGTATTTAAGCTGAAAAGTCTGTGGTATTTCAGCTGAAATGTCTGTGGTATTTAAGCTGAAAAGTCTGTGGTATTTAAACTGAAATGTCTGTGGTGTTTAAGCTGAAATGTCTGTGGTATTTAAGCTGAAAAGACTGTGGTATTTAAGCTGAAATGTCTGTGGTATTTACAATGAAGAACTTTTCCATGAACAGGTAATACTGTTTTGTACAAAACAACTAACAAAAAACATGTTTGAATGATTTCACATTTTAAAAAAATGCACCATTGAAAACAGGAAAAGATGGTGGCATGAAAAGCAACATTTAAAACAAAAATCAGAAGAATGGTGCAAAAGTGGTTTTGAATCAGTCTTTATAATATTTTATGTTAAGGGTCTGAAAACGTAGATTCATTTGATTCTCCATTGAAAGAGGTTCATGTTTTGTTTTTAAAAACTGATTATTTAAAGTTCTGGTTTACAACCAAAATTAGATTGTATATATCTTGGTTCAGAATTATACACAAAAAATATGTTATCTTTCACAATATTGATTAGATCAAGGATCTATGGGTACCGTTATGAACTGACATGTCCCTTTTTAAAGGGATTGTTGTTTAAAATTACAATGATAGTCCCTTTAATCAAACCTTTACAGCTACTGCTTCCACTTCGAGAAGACATTGAACCTCCAGTCTTACTTCTTATGAAACCAACTTTTGGCTCTAAAACAACATATTACCAAATTGATTGGAATTTTTTCCTCAAAAAGATGAAGAAAAAATACCTTCTTTTGTTAAGGGAAACTCGGAGGAAAACACTGGAATTTTTCTCTTTTTTCCCTTAGCCTAAACAAATTAAACTTCGGTATATCAATATAATGAAGACGACTTTTTTGTTCAAGTTTTAATTGTTTCCGAAATTCAAGTTTACATGGAATTAAGAGAAGCTTTTTTAATTGACAGCCCCTCTTTGTTTCCATGTTTTGTGTATCCAATATCCATGCTGTTTATACCTGCTTGATATATATCAAAATTGAAATTGAAAGTTGTCTTCCGTACATTTATATAATCGCCTACCACCGTACATCATCAATATATGTTTATTAAATAAAAAATTACAAAACAAGCTTATTTTTAAAAATTGGAAGTCAAACCTTGTAGAAATCCAACGTATAGAAACTGCTAAGTATAGCAACAAGGCGTATTTTTCGGGAGAATATTTTTTATATTTTTGAGAATTTAAATCAGATTAAAAATCAGATGTAAAGTAGATTTAACTTTCATAAAATCCTTTTATTTAAATGGTAAAACGGAATTTTATGAAATCATATTAGCATTACTGGAGAACTTTTTTTCTACTTTTAAGAAATTTTTTTCTAAAAACAAAACTGTAAATAGCATTTTCATAAAATATTTTTTAAAATAGTAACATACATAACCATATAATCATTCATTTATGTTGTCAGTACATAATAAAATCTGGGGGACCTTAAACACAATAGAGAGCAGTACAAATGTACCAATTAAACTATTTTGCTCCTTTAATGTCTAGGATATGTTTAAAAAAAAATAGAAATTATGATAATGATAATGCTAAGCTACAATGTTTTACAAAAACGTTTAATTTCTCAAAAATATAAAAAATGTTCTCCCGGAAAATACTCCTTGTTGCTATACGTATTACGTAGCTGTTTCTACACGTTGGATTTCTATAAGGTTTGACTTCAAAAATGGGGTTGTTGATAAGTGTGTATAAACCATAAGAGCAATTTCATTATAATCTTAATCATTGATTAATGATATAATTTTTTCCTGCACCTTTTCATTTGCAAGGAATTCTGCAGATCTGGTTTTTCTAAGCTCAGAAAAATCTCGCTCAAAGCTAAACAGATACAAAGGAATTGATTCTTTGCCACAAACTCTGATTTTCTAATCTCAATATCTTTGCAACCCAATGTTGTAGACTATGATCTTTGTTAGATCAAATAATTCAATTTTGAAATATTTAAGATGTACACCATCAGGTTGCAACGATTTAGGGATTAGAAAATTTGAGTTTGTGGCAAAGAATCAATTCCTTTACTAAACTATGATATTATTATTTTTCATTTGGAAAACCTTTCACAGACAGGACATTTTAAAAATAGAATGTTTTGTAAACAGGACATGTTATGGACTTGAGTTTATATGTTTTACTATCTAAGAAATGACCCATCTTTTCAGACTTTTTAGACGCCCTTGGAAAGACAAAAAAGTTTGAATGTTTTTAAAAACCAGATAAAAATTGCCTGAATCCTGTGTTAGGCACACAATGCATTGATTTTATTTTTAGGTTTGCTGATGAATTCCGGTGTAAAGATCCAAAAGACTGAAATAAATCAAAAAGTTAATCACAGATTGTAATTTCAAATAACCCTCCATTTATAGAGTGGATTGTTGATTCACTACATCAAGGTTGCAATGCAAGAAAAGTAAATTGCTGTCGCATATACTCTACGTTTATTTAGATAATTCACATAATATTTGCATATAAACATAATATTTCATTGATTTTTTTATGTGAAAGATGGATCCCATGTCAGGCTTCGACATCCGTCTTGTGTTTACATTACCGCCCAGAGACAGTATACTGCAGTACAAAAGATGCGTACACTTCTGAAATAACTTTCCTTGCATTATCCTTGCACTACATTACGTTTTAAACTCTTGAAAAAGTGTCAAACACTAAAAATGCCAATGGAGGGCCACTTGAAATTATGCCTACCACCTGTCCTACAGCCCTTTAAATGATGAATTAACAGCGAAGTTTTATTGGAGTAATTGGTGATTACCCCATTAATTTTACATTAATTTGTTTTTGAATGAAATTCTTACAATTTATCTCTGTTTTTTGTCCTATGAAATTATGGTTTCTTAATTTCTCAATTTCTTGGGGATGGGGAACCTGCAGGTGACAATCCCTATCACTTACCAAATTATCAAATTCAAGACAATCCCTATCACTTACCAAATTATCAAAGTCAAGAGGTCCAAATGAGAGCTGTGTTATCAGCCTCAGTTCATTTTGGGCTATTTTCTCCGCCATTTCAGCACTAAAATAAGATTGGAGCATTAGGTTAATAATTCACGAGATAAAATGTCAGAGGAAATACTGTTATCACAACAAGACATATCCAATTGAACAGACTTTTCTCTGTTTAGAGAACTCCCTTTATAATCATCGATATCTGCTTAAGGCAAGGATATGTGAGCTGCTCCAATTGGCTGCCTTTGCCACATGAAGGTAACTGCAAGCAAAAAAAGTATATCCTTCGTGCTGTCTGTATCAATATGTTTTCAAATTGAATATTTGTTGATATGTTTAAAAAATTCAATCATGCTTTGATCTCCAATTTGAAATCTGACATAAATTGTGTGAAGGATATATCCATATATAAATTTGGCTTGTCTGTAGATATTATGACTCGCTACATTTTAACCAGCACCCTTAATTTAATATGTTTGGAATATTCACACAATTTTCTGAATCTGTGAAAAGCCTTCACCCTGAAGGAAACTATCCAGTAGCATCTAATCCAAAAAGGTCACAATGACGTATTCAGAACCAACAGAGATTGTACAATCACACATTCACTATATTTCTATTCAATTAGAGAAAAAGTGGTTTATGTGATAAAAAGTAATCAGAAACATCTACTGTATGTCAGAAGTGCAAGCAATGTGGTTTCAACTTTGGAACTAAGTCATTCGGACCAAATTATACTACAAGGGGTTTACTCACCTGTATACAGGCTGATAAGGGAGATGTTCAGTGATTTTACCTGTAAACATTCATGATCAAATCATAAAGAAATAAGTTTTGAATTTATACATTTTACCCCTATAGAATCTAAGTAAAGTAAGTACCCCATCTTTTCATGAAGGATAATATGATGAGACTCCAGAGTATTAGAACAATTACCACAATAGTTCCCTAGGATAAAGAATAGTATGATTAGACTCCAGAGAGGATAAGAACAATTACCACAATAGTTCCCTAGGATAAAGAATAGTATGATTAGACTCCAGAGAGGATAAGAACAATTACCACAATAGTTCCCTAGGATAAAGAATAGTATGATTAGACTCCAGAGAGGATTAGAACAATTACCACAGTAGTTCCCTAGGATAAAGAATAGTATAATTAGACTCCAGAGAGGATAAGAACAATTACCACAATAGTTCCCTAGGATAAAGAATAGTATGATTATACTACAGAGTACTAGATCAATCACCAGAATAGTTCCCTATGGTAGAGGTATAGTATTATGAGACTCCATTGGATTAAATCAATCAGTAGGATAGTTCCCTACAATGTAGGAAGTTTGGAATCCTACCTTGCAAACCCAGAAACCTTACAAATGTGCATTACATGTGGTTCTATTAGGGGAGGTTAATATAACCTGAATTGTGTACCATTATGAAGCATTACTTTGTTCTCAGAAGGTTATTTATTAAGTGGATATACGGGCTTCCAACATTACAGGAATCCAACATAAAGAAATCGCTAGGTATAGCAACAAGGTATATTTTCCGGGAGAATTTTTTTTATATTTTTGAGAAATTGAACGTTATTGCAAAACATTGTAGCTTATCATTATCATTATCATTATTTCTATTTTTCAATATACCCTAGACACATACAACTAACTAGATTAATATGTACATTTGTACTGCTCTCTAATATGTTTAAGTCCCCCCGATATTATTATGTACTGACAACATTAATGAATGATTATATGGTTACATAAAATTGTGTGTTACTATTAAAAAAAACTATTTCAGGAAAATGATATGTACAGTTATATTTTTACAAAAAAAAATTTTCAAAAATATTAAGGCTAATATGATTTCATAAAATTCCGTGTTACCATTTAGATAAAAGGATTTTATGAAAATTATATCTGCTTTACACTGATTATTTAATTTCCCAAAAATATAAAAAAAATTCTCCCGGAAAATACGCCTTGTTGCTATACCTAGCGATTTCTATACGTTGGATTTCTATAATGTTTGACGCCGATATACATTCATATATCTTTCAACCAAAATGTATCATCAGACTATTTGGCTTGTTGGGAGAGAGTCAGAGTCTTTTTACACATGATTACAAGTATCCTTGGCTTTCTTAATTCTAATAACTATAACATTTCAGTCTTGATGTCTGAAAAATAAGAAATAAGTATGATCTTAGAATAAAAAACTCAAAACTTTTGTTCTCTTTGCTTGCTTTACCTTCCCAATAACTTTTCACTAGGTTATAGCTGTGGGGACTGGGAATAAGCATTTTTAGCAATTTATAATGAGAAATAATATGAATGCAAATCTCATTTGACACACTAAAAACCATATTTCAAATCTTAGTTAAAGTTAATAAACGCTTACTTGTTTCCCAGCATCCCAAAATATTTCATAGGTGTAGAATACTATTGTTTCACTCGTCTCATTCTCAAACCGAATCTAAAATCAATAGTTTTCCCTAGTGAGTTAAGTCTTTTTAAGGGACAGGCATAACACTTTTCTAATTCAATTTCTATGATTTTATATGCAATTAATCAAATTTGAATCAGCAATCAGAAATTGATCATATGCTGTTTTACAGGTGCAATAGAATAGATTGGAGTTTTGTGTAAGTTAGGTATCACTGATGGTCAAAGTTTGTCTAATGAATGATTGCAGCAGAAGTTCTATCCAAATTTGTCAAGATTGAAGACAATTTAAAAGCTATGGCCAATTACCATGTTTTTGAGGAATTTATGTTGACTTCAAGGAAGACTTTATCCTTTTTTAAAGTTTAGTTTTTAGATCACAAACATTAATAGTTTAGTGATTTAAAGATATGTATTTTAAAATCTACATATTTATTATCTCCGTAACGAGATTATTTTAAAGTTACTTAAAATTGTTTACAATATTTTTAAAAAAAAGGTTGTACGATGATAACGTGGTAATACATTTACATTCTTTGTATTTTAGTTTAAAAAATTCTTTAGTTTGCGGAAAAATTTTTCCCTTTTTCTTTCCAAAATTCATATTAAAATTTTTTTTCTTCCATTGGAGAAAGAAAACTTTTTCAAGTATTTTGGAATATGAAGTTAATACGAGTTACAGTACTGCTGAGAATAGAGTCCTCTTTTTTATAGTTAGCTTAAAGATAATTGGTTTACAACTTACCATAACTTGGTACTCTATATGAGGTATCAACTGTTTTAAAACACGACTGCGCTCATATGGAGTCATTATTGGGATAACTGTGTAAGACCTGAAGAAGATATAATTGCATTTTATACTGCCCTGCTAATAATAATGCTATGTTGTAAAGAATTAAGATTTTACTACAGTTTTATTTTGTCCAAAACATAGAACAGGGTAAAATAATGAATTTATGAACAGGGTTAAGATAGATTGAAGATATCTATCATATGTCATAAAGTTTCCTTTATTTTCTTCATTTGCTTTCTATTTCTTGAATTAAAACCTAAACAATTTTATAAACCCCAACTATGTATCTTTTTTAAGGATTTCAGCCGAGGCTCAAATATGGTTTGTTCCACTTAAAATTGTATTTATTGTTTCAAGATTTAAGCCGGGGCTCAAATGAAACTGGTTTTTGGCAGATTTTAGACGCGGCTCAAATAAATTACATTCAGACACTGTACTGTTGTATTATTTAAAAATATAAAGTAAGCGAATCTGATTTTTTTGCACTTCCATGTGTAAGAAAAGAAATCTTCGCATTCATCTTTAATATATTTAGAAAAAGCTTTATTTAAATAATGCAATGTAAGAATCACAAGTTCTATGCCCAATAACTATTAAATTTCTTAAAGGGTTCTTTGAGGCAAAATGTTGAAGTCATATCAGATATTAGTTGCTTACCAATCCTGGGTCATTCCATAAACAATTTCTAGAACTTGCTTCTCAGTTTTCTACAAAAACATTGACATAAAAAGGTTCAATTAAGGTTCAAGCATTCTTATTGGTTCTTTCAGAAAGTAAAAGGAATGATTCATAAAGAAATGTGTTTTGTCATAAACTCAAGTTTTAGATTCCCTAAATCTTTGCTACATGATGGTTCAAACCTTTGATTTTTCAAACTTAGGATATTGGATCTCCAGTGATAACCAGAAACCTCCTTAATAGAAGTACTTAAGTCTAGCTTATATTTGATTACAAAGTAAATAGTTTTACTAGACACTAATTAAATCACGACTTATTAAGTAAAATGGGTCTGTTTACACTGAACACTTTCTGTGTCCCATGCTTATTGGACTCTTTAAAGTCATAAGTTCGAAACTTAAGTCTAAAAGTCATCTTTCTATTCCAGAGTTCACTGTAATAGAAGATGAAGTTTGAAATTTGAAAGGTATATAACATCGTGTTGGAAAGATATGAGGATAATAAAATCATTTCATATCTCGGGCAATATTGAAAGCACAAAAAAGGCAGACCACATTTTGGAAATGGCAGGACAAGGGCAATTTTGGGATTATTATCTCTAGAAATTTACTTTTAAAATTAGGTTGACAAATAAACGGAGCAAATTATATCAAAAATCAAGACGACTTTCAGGTCGTCCTGCATACTGTCATGTTTCGTGGGACACCCTGTACCTAAGTGATTTGTGAAAGCATATTAAAAGACGACATTTAAAAGTATTGAAGTAACATTTGAACAGTAATATTTGAGTTGGTAGAAACTATATTGATAAAATGTAAACAAAATAGCTATTTTAAGATTCTTCTTTAATTTGACTTATAATAGATAAATTTTTACCTGAAGTTAATCAAACCAATTATTACCTAATTTCAAAATGGAAAACAAGGGCCGTAAAGCACCCTGCTTAATATTACCTTTTCCACTGCCAGTGAAAAGAAATAAAATGATTAGGATTTGAGTGGAGAAAGGATAGTTGAGGAAAGGGGAGAGAGACTTAAATTTCAAATTAGAAATATTAATTAATTGAAACGGAATTAAAGATTGGAAGAGTTTTAGAAAAATGTGTAATCTTCTACCAATAAAAAAGTGTGGAGAGGTTTTGATCTTATTGGGAGTTAGTTTGAAAGAGAAGGAGTGGAGGGGGAAGAGGGGAGAGAAGCCGGATTTGGTTTCTATATCTGAATTCATCAGATATCTTGAATACACTGAACTATAGAATATGCCAATTGGGATTAAAGAAATAGATAAATGGATTATGTTTTAAAGAAAAAATTATAAATCTAATCTAGGAGACAAGGTTGCTCGCAAATTTGAAATTTTGAATCTTAAAATATATTTTTAACCTCTGTAACTTAAATTTAAAAAAAACTCTTTCCTTGGAGTAACTATTTTCTGTTAATTTTTTATAAACTTTTTTTTCTTAATAGAACTTTGCTACATTTAATTCAAATTCATCAATGAAAAAAAAAAATATTAGGTTCGAGTGCAGAATGGCATTTTCTAGCTTTACCACAGGGGCCATGTAAATTAAGGAACCTTACAAAAATTGGACCTGTTTGATATTTCACTCTGAGTTGGGAAAGAAAACAGATAGCTTTTATATTATATTCATGGATTTTTTTCTTTCTTAAAAAGTGCTTTGTAAATAATTTTTAAAATATTGATATTAAGAAAAAGTACAGAAAAACCTTGGAAACTGACGTGCATCGTTAAATTTCCTGAGAAAATTACGTGGTTATTAACAAATAATTAAAGGAAGTTTAAATGTCGCAAATGTTAAGGTGTTTTAACAAATTTAAGATCAGTAAATTATCTCTGTAGTTATGTAATAAATATCAGGTAACACAATATTCTGTAAACCTGCAGTACGTTGTATATTGTTGACTATCTGTGTTTGTAAACTTCTACGTAAACCCATTATTCATTCGAACTACATTTCAAATGAATACATGCAACAAATATAAAAATCCCCTCATTTGTTAACCTGAACATACCTAGTTATATATGAATATGAGCTATGGAATATGATTAACTACGCTGTAAACATGTGAAATGTGTGTGGAGATAGCTTAACTACATTATATCTATCCTCGCTAATCTTATCAATACGTACATTAAACTTGTAATTACGTCGATTCATGTTAACTTGTAACATAAGATATCTAAAACAAAGTAGTAAATACAGAAACTCCACTTTGATTACACTCTAGAGTAATTGCATCCTCCTTACAGCATACTGGCTGAGATCGTACCTCGGTATTTGGTAAAGATTGATTAAGAGCTTATTTGATAGCTAAACTGTGTCCTTATTGAAACATAGGGGTTGAGATCATACCTTGGTATTTGGTATAGATAAAGATAAAAAAGATACTTTCAAAAAGCGAATAAAAGATATAACTTTGCTTAATTCATTCAATAAAAGCTAACTTTTAAGAATACAGGTTTTAAATTTTGGAACCTTCATGAATTTCATACCAAGTTTAGATAAAACTATTACAAATTTGTTTTCCTGTCTTTGGATATGCAATAATTGAATTATTGAACATTTACTCAAAAAAAAAACTATATCCTTGCCACAATCTCAGATTTTTAGTCTCTATTTCTTTGCAACCCAATGTAGACCTTAGATATTTCAAACTTTGAATTTTGTTGGATCATTAAATAATTCAACCTTTTAAATATCAAATTCGTGTTGTTTTTATAATTGGGTGCTTAAAATTCTTGATACACAAATAAATGTTTTTCATAGATAATTTTCCAAACTTTATTTACTTACAATCAAAGTGAAATGGAGATATCCAAAAAAGAGATGATCTTATAAAAAAATGTTTATCTGATCGAGTGAACCAAAATGTTTTTGTCTGCACTCCAAAATTCAAAAAGATAGCTATATATGTATATTTGTTAAAATAAATTCGAAATATAAGGAAGACGATTTCACAGACTCAAATGCCGATGTTAATTCTCTAGATGTGTGTGTACACAGGATCCATTTCCTCCATGAAGCACACCACACATGTAGCCTTCGCTCCTCACCATCTCTACACCTCCCGGTATTCAGTCAGCTATAAACACTCAAGACATTCACAACTCCATCTCAACCCTGGCTCCTTCATGATGATGATGCAGATACTCAGTGCAATGCACCTGTTGATCTGCCCCACCAACATTGAAATCTTTATTTTTTCAGTTTTTAGCTTTGAATATAGGTTAAACCGGGTCACATCTTATGACCCACTGACAGAAAAAGCTGATTTAACTAAAAGTCTGATCTTAAGTAACTTTTCTTCTTCGAGCCTAGAGTTTAAAACTAAATAGCATAAAGGTATTATTTATGTCTTAAAATGTGATTTTTCCTCTTTCCTCCATTCCTTCATTACTCCATTATTCCATTGTTCCATTGCGAAATTTCTGCATTACTCCAAATTACTCCATTCCTCCAATTTTCCATTCCTCCATCCTTCATTCGTCCATTCCTTCACCTATTCATTCGTCCTTTCCTTGTTTTACTCATTCGTCCTTTCCTTCATTTACTTATTTGTCCATTCCTTCATTTATACATTCGTCCATTCGTCCATTTCTGTATTTCTCCATTCTTCCATTCCTTTATTTCCAACCTTCTTTTCTTCATTCCTTCATTCTTTATTTCCTTCATTTACTTCATTCCTTCATTATACTTCCACTCCTTCATTCCTCCATTCCTCCATTTAACTTCCATATTTATCTATTTTCCTATTATTCTCCCATTCCAATTCATTTCCTTTATCATACTTCCAAATTCCTCCATTCCGAACTATTTCCTTCATTATTCTTCCATTTTTCCATTCCAAATCATTTCCTTCATTATTCTTCCATTTCTCCATTCTGAACCATTTCCTTCCTTATTCTTCCATTTTTCAATTCCGAACCATTTCCTTCATTATTCTTCCATTTCTCCATTCCGAACCATTTCCTTCCTTATTCTTTCGTTTCTCCTTTCCGAACCATTTTCTTCATTATTCTTCTATTTCTCCATTCCGCACCATTTCCTTCATTATTCTTCTATTTCTCCATTCCGAACCATTTCCTTCATTATTGTTCAGTTTCTCCAAATTCCGAACCATTTCCTTCATTAATTATTATTCTGTATTTCCATTCCGAACCATTTCCTTCATAATTATTCCATTTCTCCATTCTGAACCATTTCCTGATTCTTCCATTTTTCAATTCCGAACCATTTCCTTCATGTTATTTCTTCCATTTCTTCAAATTCCGAACCATTTCCTTTATTATTCTTCCATCTATCCATTCCAATTCATTTCCTTCAATATTCTTCCGTTTCTCCATTCCGAACCATTTCCTTCATTCCTCCATAGTGCATTTTCAATTTTCCTCCTTTCTTCTATTCTTCCACTCATATGCTAATTAATTCAATTTCAACATATAAAGATAATTTTGAAGACGACATTCGTACCCTTTGTTGGTTTTGACAGCTATTCCTTCCTTTTATTTTAGCAGGGATATTTTTTTGAATTTAAAATGATTTGTTAAAAAAAATATTAATTTTAGATAATCGAATTTTTTTAATGTTAATTAAAAAAAGTATTTTTAATTTATGTAAAGTAACTCATCCCTGTGAGTCACTAGCAGACGGAATCAGGCAGGGAAATGGTTGATAAACAAAGCATAAAGGTGGAACCAGGCAGTCGTGGGAGTCAGGCAGTAGTATAGCTTGTCTAGCCTTTAAACTTACAACAGCAACTTAAATTTACAAGGTTATATTATTTCTTTATCAAAATATATACTGACAATTTGTTACCAGGTGAGCCATGTTATATCCCATCAAAGAATTCCGATATAAAGAATTAGACTTCTGAAGTTCAGAGAAAACTGTACAGAATTTATACTGTCTGTTCCTACATATTCATGCTTCCCTGCAACTATAAGTCTTTCTTTTTTTGACAAAGCATTATGATAAGTCACTGAAAGACCATGGTATTCAAAGCAGAAGACTTAAGTAAAAGAGTTTAATAAGTCGTTTTTACAGTCTCACCC